CAGTACTTCCGTCATCTTTGCGTGGTTTTTCCGACAACTCTTTACAGGGTCTTCGCCGTACATGACTGACTTTTACTAAAAAACAACTTTGTTATCTCTCACCGTTGGTTTTGTGCCTATTTATGTTGCCCTTATAGAAAGGGATAAATATAACACTTTACAATATACAAAACATCCTATTTTGAAATTTATAGCAATTATAAATATCATGTAAGATATTTGCAAGATAAAATAAACCTTATAATACTTTCATTGATTGATGGGTACTTTTAATTATAAAACGTTAACAAGAGTTTCTTGTAGACGTTGTAGTTAGATAAAACCTTATTTCTGGTTTTGGGAGACAATATTTTATTTTAGGGGGTGGGGGTGGTGTTATTAGTTATTACATTTAATCAAAGTATCAAACCATTAAACTATTGAGGAATATTTAGTAGTATCTACACTTGGTTGGATATAGATAGACCTAGACTAATATATTGAGCTCACAAATTAAAGATGTCTAATTTATAATAGCTTAAATATCACTTTAGCCCCAGTTGTTTGAACTTTGTGTACATGACCCCTTGTACTTTTAATATAAGCACATGTCTCCCTGTAGTTTGAACTTTGTACACATGACCTCTTATGGTATTTCATTTGGTATATAATCATGCAGATTAGGAAGAATTTTGTCTTGAAAGTACAAAACAGTATGTGCTTATATTAAAATATAAGGGGTCAGTGTGGTATATTAAAATTATCAAGGGGTTATGTGCACAAAGTTCAAACTACAGAGGAGGTAATAATTACCCTATAAAATAGTGTGTGTTATATAGGGGTGGGAACGAGCCGAGCTCGGCTCTTTTGGCCAGCTCGAGCTCGAGCTCAGGCTTATTAAATTTTTTTTTAATTATTATTTAATTTTTTTATTAAAATCATTTTATTTTTTATTAAAAATTATTCATAGAAAAATAAAAAAAATTATAAAATAAATAATGAACTCTAGTTATATATATTTTTTATTTTTTCTATTATTATTATAATATTTTATATTATTATGAATTATTTAAGTAATATAGATTTGTTTCTATTTAAATACTAGATATATTTATTATTATAGACTATTTACTATTTAGTTAATAATAATAATAAGAATAAGAATAAGAATAATATATATATATATATATATATATATATATATATATATATATATATATATATATATATATATATATATATATATA